CGGCGGCCCACTTCGGACTGCCTCCAGCCACCCATGAAGAGCGAGTCCGAGGAAGGCTCCGGCTGATAGCTCGCGGTCCGCTCGATTGACATGCTATTGTGATCTTGCGATGGCTCAATTAAATCGCCAGAACATTCGTACACGCGATTAAAATAACTCTTACGAAATGCTGTTGCGAGAGGACTGCTCGGGTCAGCAAGCTCGGTGTGTTCGCCTGGCCGAGTGGCTTCTGCGCCAAGTGCGAACATTACGTGAATCTGTGCGCGAGAGACGACTTTTCTTCGTAAAACAGGTTATTCTCGTGATCGTCAAGCTACCACGCAGCCTCGCTTTGCACGCTGCTCGAAGCGGTACAATTTTTTTCGTAATAATGAAGAGTACGATGATGTCTCCAATGGTTCACTTGGACGCAGAATGCTCTTGAAATTTATCATAAAATTATCTTGTATATCACATTGCTATATTTAGCAACATGGCTTCGAGGATTGTCAGCGGTCGACCTAGAAGAGCAAAAGAATTCCAGGGGAGTGTTATATAAATGCTGCTTAGTTCGGTTAGATATTGTTTAAACTACACGATGACGTTAGACAGACGTTAGACAGACGCGACTATTACGTAATTTAGAATATCGAGAAAGGTAAGCGTGTCCTCTCTTCGGACTTATAACGCGATAGGCAGTAATCTTTCCATCTATAAGCGCTCATCTTCCCATCTATTACGCAAGACAAAGTATTGTTATAACGCAGAATTGACGCATTAATGAAGCTGTCGGCCAAGAGAGCCGCGTCATCGAAGGGATTGAATCTAATTGAGGCGCGACAGACGTCTTCTCGCGTCCCACGATGCTTGAGACAAAAAGCTGCGTTACGGCCGACAAAAAAGCCAGGACGTTTCCCACGTGACCCGTCGAAGCGAGGGAGGCTGAATCTACCCTCCTGCTGATCGCGAGTGCTCTTTGTTTCACGGAACAATAATAATCCGCCGCCCGCTATAAGAACTTCAACGACAAGTACGCGAAAAAACTCGACGGGGAGAGATTATAGAATAAAAAGAATGAGAGATATTAAGAGAGAACGGCGAGAAAGAGCGAGAAAGAGAGAATAAATTAGGCGAAGAGGGAGGAAACCGCTAAGACAGCGAAATAACGTATCTGCCGAAAGACGAATGTTAATCCGCACTAAAGAAGAAAAGCTAAAAGAAAAAAATATCTAAAACAACAACTCACGCATCTATTTTGTCGAGGCGTCCAATAAGCAATCACCAATACGATGATACGAGAGGGGTGAAAGGAAAGATGGGAGGGAGCTGTGAGAAAGAGTAAAAAAAAAATTTACGAGGAAGCAGAGACGAAGGGGCGAGGAAGAGATAGATGGGAGAAAAACGTGGGGAGGTAGAAAGATGCAGAGAGAGAGAGAGAGAGAGAGAGAGAGTGCGGATCATGTAGAGGGTGGAGGCGTACAAAGACTGCGCAAAACACACAAACAGGCGTATTGCAATAATGGCTGTGCGTGTTGTACAAATACGATATCGGGTTGAGGGGGCCGCCGCGCAGACACGTGACCCTCTCAAAGGGCTCGCAGTATAACGAACACCCCCGACGGTGAGGCCCCCCGCAGGGGCCGCTCGTGTTCCGCGACCAGTTAGCGGGGTTAACTTACAACCCTGCGGCCAACACGCTCGTCTCGCGACCTCTGAGAGTTAGCACTCTTTTTTTTATATACTTTTTTTTGCTAACACACTATTGCAACGATCGCGCGCGGTAATTTTGTACGTTTTCCGCGTTTTTCCAGGGACGGGAACTTCTCGACGGATATCGCACTATTGTAACCTGGGCCTTCATTAGAGGCGGGCTGGTTGGCGGATTTGGCCTGATAATGAAGTTGCGGCGCGATAATGAATTTGCGAAACGGAATTTCGAATATATAGCTGACCCTAGTTATCGGATTTTATGACACTTCGTATTTCGATACGCCGATTTATTTCAAAACAAGACTTTTTACAGAGAAAGGTGATTCGCTACATTTTGAATAGAAATTTTGCTAGACAGCGTTAAAGCTGACTTTTTATTCTTCCAATTACTGCAACATTTCCGGATTGCCTTTCTCCTAACGAAAAACGATTTTATTTCACTTGCGACAATTAAATAAATAATATCAAAGGGACGAAACTCTCTTTGTATCTCAGATATTCTCAGACTGTACGACTTTCTACGTTTCTTTCCCCAATTTCCTGTCATAATCAACATATTCGGAAAGTTAATGAAATCTCGATCGTCGCCTACGATTTAATGATGAAACAAATTGACGATCCCCGATACGCCCCCGCAACGACGCGACGATTAATATCCCGGCGATGTTCTCTCATGGGAAAATTTCATACGTCGAACGTGGGCGAACATATTCGCCCTCATTAGCGATCCGCATCCTCGCCTCTTTTCGCGTCCCGAGGGCTCTTTTTTTACGCAAGATTTCCATAATAAAGAGAAACGCCACGATATCGGTGGCGAACGTCGACAATACGTTTCGCGTAGTTGACGATTCGAGTAAGGGAGTGACGGCAATTCAAAGGAATCAGTAGGGTCCTGCGCGCGTAATGGGGGGGGTGTACATTCGGAAACTATTACGGGCACGTGATATCTTTCGACACGTGCTCTTACGACTTGTAAATTGCTCGTGTGCGCGTTCATCCTAAGTCCAGCCGCAAATTGAACGAAGGACTGATTGAAAGGACAAGAAGACAAACGGACTGTGTTACGTCTTTAGACGTATACAGAAATAAAGAGACCGAGAGAGAATTGAGTTCGCTCTACGTAGAATAATCATTCCACATTTATTCAAATTTATAAATGTAAAAAATTTCAAATGTCCAAACTTCTATCTTAAACTTTTATTTTATTTTACTTTATTCTATTTTAAACCTTTATTTTAACGATTTAAACTTCTATTTGCTGAACATATCGAAGTTGACGCGTTATAAATTCTTAATATATCGCGTAACATATGTACTAAAGTTCGTTAAACATATTAAAAATTTAATTCTAAAAATTGCTAAAAATTTGTTAAAAAATTATTATAACCGCTTGGAAGTTTCGTACATACTTTTATATTATTGTTCCCGAGCCACGTGACTTTCAACTAGTGGGACGTGCCTGAGAGACCACTGTTACGTTACTCATCCATACATTTTACATTTTCTCTCTATATTGTAATTTTAGTATTATATTTTTTATTGTATTGGACTTTATTTTAATTTTATAGTATTTAATTTAATTTTACAACATTTAATTTAATTCCCTCTTGACATTCAAATTGTCGAAATGCACATGTAATTCCTTCGGGATAACAACCATTTGCGGTAGCTGTTGAAATAAACAATTCGCAAGGAAATAGAAGCCGACAAAAAATAATGGAGTAACATACTTATTTTATGGGTAGATAATGATAAGAAGAGAAGATTTCTAAAATTAACAAGTTAAATTAAAGAAATAAAGAATTAAAAAAATTTTTAAATAATTTCGCAGGTTAATTTGTTAAGTTAAAGAATTAAAGGAAGTATTAATTTTATAACGTGATGATTAGAAACTTACTCCACTCAAAAACTACGTAATGGTAATATTTGTAATCAATAATTATGCGTCAATATTTTAGTATTTCGACTGTATTGTGATTATACTGTCAGCAGCGGAATAGGTAGGTACTTCCTCGGGTAAAGCTTGTATTTACACGCACTGACACAAAATTGACGTGTGAAGTACACACTTGTGTCTGACAGGATGGCCTTCGATGGAAATGACACGAAGTCGGGGTGGAAGCTATTATTCGAATATGCACGGTTTCCAATTATAGAAAAATCGTTACAGGATAGTACATGTGTCACGTAGTTCGATTCGTACTCGAAAAGATGCTTCAATAAATCCAACGTCACAGTCAGTAATTTGTCGTGGATAGAAATGATTTCTCAGACTATGCCACTTGCATGTCGAAGATGTGAGAGGGCAATAAATTTGTGCCACTGCAATGTTTATCACATAGAAAATAAAAATTAGAGAATTTAAAAAAGAATATTTCCGACGCGTAAAAATAAAGTCGATGGCTAATGTTATACGTAAAATATTGATTTTCGTTTATTAAGAATATGTATTATATACAGATAATTATATAATGTTTAATTTTACCTTTCGCTGTCACAAATAAATTCATATTCGTCAAAATCTTCCGACTTGTAAATCCCTATTTTCCTTTCCGTTTTTGTTAAATTTTATATTTTTGTTCTTTTAAACCAGCAGCAAGTGGTTCACTGAAGTATCTTTAGAGGAGAAACCAAACTATGTGATGAAACTGTCGGTCGGAAAAGATATCCGCAGTGGGTAAGGAAGGAAAACGGATCTTTTATTCATTTATTGCTTTCGCGATAATCATCCACTGGTATTCTCACGTCCGATAAACGTGTAAGAAAAAACACGATAATGATATAATCGATTGTGAGTAAAAATAAGCTCGTTGATAAGTTGTTTTGCTTCTGAATATTTCGTGAGAAACTGTGAAGTTTTGAAATCTTGAGACATAATTATAAATGATATATATACGCAAATAAATGTTTTTTTAATTACAATGGATTATTATTATTATTATTAGCATTATTTTACCATGAATATAATTATTTTACGACGATCTTAAAATGTTTTATATAAAGTATAGAAAAATAAATATACATATATTCTGACGCGCCATAAAAGATGCTTCAGGAAAATGTAAAAATATTTCGCAGAGAATGTAACGAAGATGCGGAAGATCTTACCAGGATGAAACAATCTGATCGAGCACCCTGAAAATACCACCGTATATACACACATGTTCGCCGCTTTTGTACTCGCAACGCATAAATTTCGAGCTATCGCTTTCGTAGTTTCGAGTATGTCGTGAAACAAATAAACGGCAGGTTAAACAAATGCAAATAACACTGGCGTGCGGCCAATATCAGCGATCGATTTTGCGGCAGCGATGCCTTTCAAGAAATTCAGGCCGAAGTTCTCCGTTTACCAAGTTTGCGTAACTATACTAGAGGCGAAGCACTTGCCGCAAAACGCAAACCCATTGGTCGTCGTCAAAGTCGGGAATCGTAAGAGAAAGACAATGGTGCGCGAAAGGACCGATAATCCTGTCTACAACGAGGTGAAGTTGACCGACAGTTTGTCAGGACAACGTCCTGACAACGTGAAAATATCGCGATCGCGTAAAGTTATAACGAGTGGAATTAGCAAATTATTTTACGTGCCCTCGTGAATATTCAAATCTTTTAATTCCCGCTAATGTTTTTTGAATTTTCAAATTCAATTCGGCTTTTGGAATTTTCAAATTCAAAATGTTGATGTATAAATCAATGCAGGATATATACAGGATGAATTATATATATTAATTAATTAAAAGTTGCGTATATTTTGAATTTTTGTTTTAAAAATTCATATTCTAAAAAATTTTCTTTCCCGACAAAATTTTCTAAAATTTAATCGTCCAGTTGTCATCAGAGTAATCGGTATAATTTAATAAGTTATCGTTTTATCTGCGCAACTGTAAATTTACGTCTACATATTTATGTAGTGTGTATAATTCTTTGTATAATATGCAGTACTTCGTGTTCGATTTCACGTGCAGTCTCGAGACTTTGCTCAGCACGAGAATTATGATAGCAGTGTACTTGCGAAACGTTCTTCGACAACTAAAATTTCACGGAAGTATTTCCTTTGAGGTCGCAACAGTATGGGAACAGCCAGGTTAGAAAGAAAAGTATTAAAAACCGAATAAAAAGATAGTTAAATTTTACGAGGAACGAGGCGTAGAATTTATAAATTAAAACGAAATAGATAGTTCAAGTTCCTGTAAGTTATAAACAACCCGCTCTACGAAATAATAAATAACGATATCATCGCGATTTCGATTTTTTATAAAAACCTCGTCTCATGTATGGAAAATCTTGGACTGTCTCACGAATGCCGCTTTTTAGATCGGAAGAATATAGGACGTCTTTGATTTTTCCATAAACAGCATTTTATTTCATAAATGTTATTCGTTTATAGATCGACAATATTTTCACAAATGGGCTGTGCTAATGAACCCAAAAGATCCGGCGGCGGGCCCGAAAGGTTACGTGAAGTGCAATATCGTTGTGAACGTGAGGGGTGAGAAAGTTAAAGTGCACCCCGAAACAGAGGGCGAAGAGGACATCGAAGGGTAATTGCTTTACAGGATAAAGATCAAACACTTCGGCATTATTTACATATATTAACGTGCATATTTATAATTTATATTATATTAATCGGCTTCTCTCTCTGAAATCTCACCGCTCGTACCGATTAATGGCCGAACGATCTCCCGTGCGGATTAAACAAGCGCGTAATGTATGAATAAACGTAGGAACTTGCTGTTGCCCCTCGGAGGTGAAAGCTTGCCTTTCAGGCAACGCGCACGATACATTTTTGTTATTTACCGCGCTGATGGATTACCAGATATGAGCAGCTTATGCAGCAAAAGCGATTTCGAGAACATTAACCCCTACGTGCAAATATCGTTCGCCGGGATGAAAGTACGTTACAGCAAATTATTCGACGTTCTAAATTATTCGACGCTGTTCGGAGATGAAAGTTCACGCTAATTGTCGAGCCTTAATTTCGCGTTAGAATTAAGGTATCTATGCGATATCGCTGATTAATTTTGACCGCTTATAATTTCAAGGCCATTGCGATGTCTTGAACTATCTATTTCGTTTTAATTTATAAATTCTACGCCTCGTTCCCCGTAAAATTTAATTATCTCTTTATTCGGCTTTAACTTAATACTGTTCTTTCTAACCTGGCTTTTTGTTCCTCCAAATTTTGTTGCTTTAATTAAGCCGAATATGCTACTGGAACATTATAATTAGACACGCGCGACTGATCGATCGATGATCACTCAGCGGTTCGCATTGAAATTCCTCGATGACCACGCAGAGCCACGGGCGAAACTTGTCGTTCTGCATTCGGAAGTTTGCGATTCTGCGATTTCGATTGCACTTTCCACTTCACCGCGCCACTTACGACGCGATTAATAGTCACATCTTAACGGCGTTTTACGAACGTATCCGCGGGATCGATCGGACGTTTTGATCGATCTCGGAGTGGAATCCACGGATTTGACTAACGCAGGACAAAATCGGGACATGCGAAATTCATTCGACGCGTATCCATCGCGGTGCGGTGGAAATTCCAGCACTTTGGAAATATATTCGCGGCGCAATAAATTCCGGAGATATGTCACACCCGCGCCTCGCGCGGAAAGAATTGCGAGCCGAAGACCCAGCACGCCCGCGCCGATCGCGGAATCACAGAACGTGAGGTTTCCAGGGGGCGACGAGTGAAGAGTGGCAGACCTACTCCCCGAAATTCCACGAGGGTATCATTTTTAAGGAGATGTTCCCCGCGCTCTGCCATCGTGTGAGGATCGCTATAAAACACCGTATCGACAGCCTTCGAACTTGCGTGGTCGCAGTTCATACCCTGGATATGGCGAAGATTTCGAATTCCGAGGAATACGGCAAGTGTTATTCCTCGTCAAATGTACAAATACCTGGGGACACTCCCTTTCCCGGAAAATAGACGACTGCTTTGGGTTTGAGCGAACTTATCGGTGATAACTTGGAATATTTTATACATCGTTTTCTATCTCTTCCGTAACGATATCTTCTTACGAGATTTAAGACAACTATTCATTCAGCAAACTTTTGGAACAGATTTCGTTACGTGACAAACTTTTAGGTAGACATACGTAAATTCGCATAGATTTAAAACAAACTGGTGCTTTCAAGTTTAGCCTGGGCTGAATTTAAACGTATATATTGAAGTTCAAGTAATAACGTGAGAGCGCGACGCGACGCGGGAAATTACGAAAGGTAGCAGGAAACATTTAGCCTTTCAACAGGATTTCTCCCAACTTACGGACCGTCTTTCATCCACTTTTACGGATCCGGGTCGGTGGAAAAGAACGGCTGCTCGGGCAAATGCTTGACGGCTTTGCCTTTGTATCGTGGAAGGGTGCTCGTGTCGCTGAAAACTGAAATGGATGACCCGAACGCATCCCCCGGAATCGGAGTCGAGACAGTTCCAGCATTTCCCATTATCGAGGTGATTCGCTTTCTCTATGTTTTATTTTCGCGGTTATTACCATATTCATACATGCTGATTTTCGGCTTCTGTCATAATCGCGCAAATTCGTTGTCTTTTGGTAACCATAATATCTTATGTAATAATTATAACAATTTTAACAATTGTCTCAATTTATGCTCAAAGAAGTGCGATATATGTAGTTTAATAGGAATGTCCACATTCCTAAATATTTATTAGAAAAGTTTACAGAAACGGATTAAGAGATATCAAAAATTATGACTCGAGGAAATTAAAAATATTTATTGCGATATAAAATAATTGAAGCCAACGCAGTCCGTAGTCCGAGATAGACTGTACTCAGCACAAAAAATTGTTTAAATCTAGAAAAATTTCTGGTCGACCGAGGAATATCTTCTGGTCGGCGTATTGTATGACGTGTGCATGATCGACCGTTCTCGATTCGGGTCAAAATCGATCAGCTTCGAATTGAGCCTGGGTAACGCAGGCAATCAGCAATTCCCACGCAGCCAATGCGCCGAGAACAATAACGACGGCCAATCAGGTGCCCCATAGACTTTTATTTCCACCGGTTATATCGTTGCTTCTATATAAAGCTTATTTTAATGCTAAATGTAATTGCTGTGTGAACAGATGGAAAAGGAAACGAGAAAGTTTTGGTTTACATCGATTTCAAGTATCTAATAGCCCCCACACTCCCTCCTCTTTATCTTCTTTTATCATTTTAATTTAATAAAAGCACGTAATCACGTTATCGACCCCGTCAACTGCAATCTCTAAAAGACGGTTCATGATAACAAGACAAATTCTCAAACGCGATAGAGGGACGAGCATTGCGAGAGAGGAAATTCATGTTCCGCAACGCGCTCCTTTTCGATAAAACCGCGACATCGCGAAGTATCGGAGACTGCGACAATCTTTCTCGCGTCTACGTTCCGGAAAATTTGTCACTATTGTTGAAGGTCATTTTGTACGCTTGTCGTGAAAAATACGCTTTCGCTGTCGACATGAGGCGAACACTAAACTCATTCAGCGCTAAATGCACGACGACGATATATCGCTTTTTCCCCATTTTCGTCCTCGGCAGAAAACGAATTGCGGGAAAAGCGGCCGAGCTTCGTAAGTCAATCAGTATCGCGAGCTACAGGCACCCTGGACGGCAGGTATAATTATCTGCCCCTGGGCTCTAGGAAGCCCTGTTTGTACGTGAAATCCTGGTGGCCAAATTTGGAATATCGAATGTACAACAGCAACAATTTTCAATGTATTGCCGATTTTCTGGTTAGTTACAATTATCATTTATGTCTAACACTTTTCTTTCTTTTTTATCGAGGATGCATTGATTTGTTATTTCGCTACGGTTTCGGTGACGAATTGGACATTGCTTAGAAAAAGATCCGATCGTTGGAAATATTTAATCTTATCTCACTGAACATTCGAGAAAATGAATAATTACTGGGTTGATCGATGACTGATAATGAACCTAGCGTGTTTTCAAGTCGAAAATACGAGTAATTCTATGAATTCTATCGCGAGAAGCATTCTAATCCGCTCGTAGGAGGGAAGACTGGAAAAACTAGAGGCTCTTATAGCCGTGGAGAATCCTAAAGCATTCGCGACCTACAACGAGATGATTCACGCGTTGAGAGCTCACTGCGCGCGCTATTTGCAAATACTGGATGGCAACAAGTACGACGAAAGCGCGACCACTAAGCTCGATCGTCATCGCGCGAATCTCTGCCGCAGAACCATCGCGAATATTCTCAAGAGGATCAGGATCAACGGTGAACTCCCCAACAACAATTACATGAGAATCGCGATGATTCACGCGTACGAGTACTTGAAGAGACTGCGAGACCTGTGCGAAGAGGTGAGTCGACGACTCGAGACGGTCCGGTGTTCTTCATCGAAATAACGAGAAGTAAACGCTATTAGTCGGATATACGACGAATCATTTAAACCGATGTGAACCTGCCAAACAACTTAATCAAAAAAAAAAAAAAAATTCTTAATACTTTCGATCGTATTTCGTTTGTACCTGTTTGTATCACTTTTTGTTTCGTTTGTACCTCAAAGAATAAAAAGATAGGGGGAAGGGGAAAAATAGACAGCAAGCAAGATATGGCCGAAAACGGTCAACGCCATCCGAAAGAGAATCGTTTGTATCTGTTTGTACAACTTCCTTCAAATCGTTTGTACCTGAAAGAAACCGGAAGTACAGAATTTTCAAAAATCATCCAAGAGGTACTTTCGCCAATTTTTGAGATATCGCAAAACGGCCAACGCTATTCGAAAGAGAATCGTTTGTACCTCTCTTCAAATTGTTTGTACCTCAAAGGGACCGAAAGTACGAAAGTAACCTTCCGACATATTTTGAAGATCCTGTACTTCCGGTTCCTTTGAGGTACAAACGATTTGAAGACAGGTATAAACGGGTACAAACGATTCTCTCTCGAATGACATTGGCGAATGGTTTTGCGATATCTCCAAAATTAGCGAAAGTATCTTTTGGACGATTTTTAAAGATTCTGCACTTCCGGTTCCTTCGAGGTGCAAACGGGTACAAACGATTCTCTTTCGGATGGTGTTGGCCGTTTTCGGATATCTTATACATGCTTGCTGGCTATTTTTCTCCCTCCCCCTATCTTTTTATCCTTAGAGATACAAACGAAACAAAAAGTGGCACAAAAACAGGTACAAACGAAGTACAATCGAACCGTATTGCGAATTTTTTTTTATCAAGTTGTTTGCCAGGTTCGCATCGGTGTATCATTTGACTCCGTCTTCGCCTTCGTTCAATTAGCCTCAGCACAGTCTCCCGGACGTCTTCGTCTGGATGATCGCTGGCTCGAAGAGAGTCGCTTACTCGCGCTTACCCGCGCAGCAGATTATCTACTCCGAGGAAACCGCCGAGATGAACGATAAACGCGGCCGGTTAATCAGCCTCTTCCCGAGGAATCCGGAGGACGAAGCCGAAGCTGTCGAATATAGCGCCTGCAAGATCGAAACCTTCCTCTGGCTCGGCAACGCGAAGTACGTTACCGCCTGCTGGAGCGCGATTCCACCGGGATACGAGGTCGATCACGGCGGAAACGTCGATAACTTCCCGAAGTACCTCGAGTACAATCAGTCCTCGGTGAGAAAATAGCGAGAACGATCATCGGGAGAGCGTTGCGGCGCTCGCGAGCGAAGCGTGACGTGACAAAATGTAAAAGGAAAGAGAGGACGCGGGGGAAAAAGAGGGAGAGAAAATAATCGATCGGGTGCAGCGATAAGCGCGCAAAATTAGAAATCGGCTCGTGCACGCAAAAACAACGTTATGACAATGACAACGGTATTGTTGCAGACGTTCCAGCTGCGTGCGCACATATTCCAGGGCCGCTTTAATCCCGGCCCGGACAATTTCGGCCTGCTCGATCCGTTTATCAGCGTTGCGTTCCGGGGATGCACGGCTACCACGCAAGTGAGTTATGCGAGATTTTAATGGAACATGATCGCGCGTGACGTGCAAAGTTTACTCTCCTCGTTTGCGGATACTTGGATTACGAAATTTCGAGCGGAGTTTAACTTGCCTGCCATCTCTCGCAGATGCTGTATTGCGATAATCGCATTTCGCGTGTTGTTCATGCTACGTGTGCGCACGCAATAATAACCCTTGTCAGGAGCGTTGCAAAAATTTCTACCGTATTTCTGCTTCTCTATCTGACATTTCACTTCCACGAGTGCGCGAGGACACTGACGGATGCAACGCGAGTATGATTAATGTTACACGTCGAACGTCGCATTTAAATGAAGGCATCGCTTTCATCAATGTGTCGGTTCAGCACAGTGTATCCATTTGGTGAAAGTGAATTAAGGAGCTTAATAATGATGGTGAAACATTTCAGAGTAATATCAATCTGTCGCGTCGTACTTGTCTGTATCGCATCAATAATTTTATCGATTATATTATAGAGAAAGATTTGTTCTATTGCGTTTATGTGAAATTTGAAATATGGAGGTACGTATAATTGAAAAAAAATTGAAAAGATAAAAACTACGCGAAAGAAAATTACGTTAAATTGAAGTTGCAAATTCTGTTTAAAAAATGTCTGCGAAAGAGAGAGACGTTCGTACGTTTGTGCGCGCGCGTTGCTACTAAAATATTACCTCGAAATGAACATCCGGTGTAATTTTGTGTGCGCAGACAATACGACAAAGCTTTCATCCGTTTTGGGACCAGACATTGATATTTCCTCCGGTCACTTTGCACGGTACGAAGGAGTTCATTAAATCGCACCCACCCGAAGTTGTCTTGCAAGTCTACAATCAGGACTTGTGCGTAAGCAGAACGATGAATTTTTTAGCGCTAGTGAAAAGGAAACGCGCGATGAGAAATATAACACAAATATTTCTAATGCTTTTTTGTGATTACCGGACTGCAATTGCAAGTGCGTTGTATGTTTCACGCTCCGCACGAAAAATCATGCAGGACACGAAGGAATTTTGCGGCAGGTGCATCGCGGTGCCATTAGTGAAGCTCGCAACAGAAACCTACTCGCCGCCCGAATTCCCACCGAAATTGGAATGGCACAAATTTCAATCGCAAAAAGATTGCGCCGGTTCCGTGCTCGCCGCTTTCGAGCTGATAGAAGTGAGCCATCCACCTTTTCTCTCGCGTGCGATAAATCTTGAAAAGTGCGAGCTCCGTTCTTTCCTCAATAAGTAATATAATGTACATTATCCCAACACCATCGCTTCTTGTATCTTCGTGCATGTAATGCACCCGCCATTGATTTTCTCTCCGGCTTGAAAAAGGAGAAAGAAAAGGACGCTATTAACCTCTAGGATACTATCAGAGGGTATTCAGTGCAATGGCCGATAAAATATACATATATGCAGACGGAAAGCGAGGAACACGCAGACATTTCGATGAACGTGTCAACGGAGGACAAGATTTACAGCATCCCGCCGGACATCAGGCCGAAAATGGCGAACCACAGGTTGGAGGTGGTCTTTTGGGGTGTTCGCGACATGAAGAAGATAAACTATATGCCGGTACTGAGACCAAGAATTATAGTCGAGTGCGCCGGAGTCCACATCAAGTCGACGGTAATTGAGGACGCCGCGAAATTCAGCAACTTCCAAGAACCGCACATTATGATCGAGCTGGTAATTGCAGAGCGATTGTAAAGTAGAGATTGTCGTTCCATAATAAGAAGAAAACTGACGCGATGGTGGCGAGGAAACGAACCTCGCGCTTTAAAATGCATTACTCACCAACCAAGGAAATGCCAGAGCTCGACGTTTACTATCCGAGCGTCACCATAAAGGCCTACGAATCCCGCGGATTCGGTTGCTTCAAGTACGCCGGGATCTGCACTATCCCCAGCATTCGCATGTTTCTGGAGCAATTAATAACCGCGGAGGACTATAATAAGCAGATATACGAGTCGAAATTTCTATGGAAATTTCAGCCGGCGAAGCCGGAGGCGACGATAATGTGTAAGTGAGTTCTCGATCCAAAAGCGAAAAACCGAGATGTAAAAACTATTTTATCGTGTAAAATCATTCCTATATTGTTTTATCGTCGTGCGGACAGTGCCTTTGCCGGCGGATTATAGCCCCTCGAAAGAGGAAAAGAAAGGTCTAATCGCGTACAAGAGAATGGCTGGAACTGATATCTACTCCAAGCTGAAGAGACTGCTCGCGATAATAAAGCGGATATTGAAATTTGATTTTCCTACCAAGAGGAAGAAAATGGAGATACAGAAGGATGATGACGACGAGACTCTCGATTGGTGGAGTAAATACTTTGCTTCCCTTCAGGTACGCAAGATGCAATCATGGAATCGGTTCGAGCACGCAGCTGCTCTACTAAATTTCTTCTTAATTCTACCTCGGCAACTCAGAAGTTACTCGAATCAGTTTTACTTGCTCATAATACTTCAGTCACGCTGCTGCTAAATGAACCGATTCTGACGATTGCTACGTAGAACAAGGGAATTTCGACTAAAGCCAATCGAGGCAGCCAATACACGCAAATTAATGTGTCACATTCGATCCGTAGGAAGAGAGAAACCGAGAGCTGGGAATTACAACAGCGTTCCGTCGTAAACTCGTGGCGACGTTCAAGGTACACTTTAATGCGCTTGTATGAACTTGAGAGCTCAGACATTGAAATCAGATCTATTCCACGGAACTAGAGACACAGCCGGAATTCGAAGGGTTTCAAGATCGTATCCGCACTTTTGAACTATGGCGGGGCAGAAAGTGCGAGAATCACGATCAAGCCGAGGATAATTACGTCGGCATATTTAAGGTTTATTTAAGGCATAATTTAAGATTTATTATGTGTGCAAGAATGTGTTATTTCTCGGGGTAATCTAATTTATGTCAAATTAGCAGAAAATTATTTCTTATCTTTGAGAACGTTCCATCTAGATTTTTCTCGATATGGGGGGACAGGGTGTCCGGGCGGGATCTTTTGGAAAAGAAAAATTGGGAAGATTAATCGGATCAGACTGAGAGGAAAAGTCATAAACCATTTTGCAAAAGTCGCAATAGTTATTAAGTTATTAATGATTAATTAATAATTAATTATTAATGATTAATTATGACTACATCCAGAAGCTCTTTTAATTGGTAACTTGAAAACTTACTTGCAAAATGAATAAAGAACTTTTTTATTCAAAATTAACTAATCTACAATTATATGACGGCTGTTATGTCTAGCGACAGGTTCAAGATTCAAAGTTCAAAGTTCAATATACTCATATCTATCGTTAGACACAATAGCCGTCATATAATTGCAAATCAGGTCATTCTGAAGAAAAAAGTGCTTTACCATTTTGCAAAAAAAGTATGCAAATTTTCAAGTTATCAATTAAAAGAGTCATTTTCAATCATTAATAACTTAATAACTATTGCGATTTTTGCAAAATGGTACTTGACTCTTCTTCTCAGTTTGATCTGATTAATCTTCACAATTTTTCTCTCCCAAAAGCGGACCTCAGACATCCTGTATAATAGATAAATCAGTCGAGTGTTTCGAACGCACAATCACAAATAGAGAGCGAGCAAGTATGTAAATATATCAAAAGTTTTGGCTAAATGAAAAATGTACTTGATTCGCAATTGAACTGAACATTTTGAATATCTTTGCAGGGACACATTTCTGTATACCGATGGCCGCACCCTGACAACCTCCCATGCAAAACGAGGAGCGGGAAAGACGCGGCTAATGGCCTGTGCAACGATTATCCACCTCAAGAGTCTGTTAAGCTTCTCGTTAGACTCTACGTTGTAAAGGGTCAGTCATACGCAAAAAAGTTCATCAAAAAAAGAGGATCATGCGTAACTGCGAAGGAGAAATTAATTCTCGAAAATAGCCTTCGCGACTTGTTTTTCGTTAATTAGAGCGTTTCCAAGAAAGAGGGATAAAGAGAAAACTTTAGAAAGTAAACTTTAGAAAGTAAAAAGGCGAGGAATATTTAGAAAACTTTACGAGACAAACACGAATGCCGAAATCATCAAAGATCTATCGGGGACTATAAAACGGAGACGAGCGCGATTTTTGTGAAACATCATGCGCCATTTTTTGATGAAACATTGATTGTCTCGAATTTCTGAGCAATGATATATCGTTCGTACTTCCATTTCATTCGCTTTTACGTCACATCCTGTACTTCTCGATAAACAAAGCACGTCTTCGGTATCGGAGCCGACAGTAAATTTGCCTCCCGCACGCACAGGGATCAACTTACAACCCAAGGATCCTCTCACCGGTAAATCTGACCCATACCTCTACGTGAAGTTGGGAAAAAATTCTATAAGTGACAGGAAGAATTATATTGCCAATCAATTGAACCCCACGTTCGGCCGGTAAGGTCTACAAAAAACCGCCAGCGCTCTTTTCCAAGGCGCCGCGAAGCGTGGCGCTTCGCCCTCTGGACGTTATCGGAAAATATATTTTATCGATATCAATCTGTGCATCCATGCGTATCGACTTTTTGTAGCTTTCAAAGCTGCGCGATCGGAGTTTTTAGTTAGTCTGTTGACGGCAGTAGTGATAGAGACAGGATATTACTTTATCGAGAAGAATATTATTTCATTAAATAATTCGTTTTTCTTCTTCGGAAGATATAAGAGACAATAGACGGTCGTTCGGCTCTTCGGTAACGAACGCTCCCTATAGATTTAATATTAAAGCTGAAAACCGTCAGACATGCCAAATCATTCTAATATTTTTGAAATCGTAAATTCTGTCAGACTGACACAAAATACACTTTTCCCGCCGAATTGTCGAATTAACAATAACAAAAATTTACTTCCGAGCGAAGACGAGACAAATGACCGCGAGCAATCCCTGAGCAATCTCTCTATATTGTCCGGCAGGATGTTCGAGATCGAGGCGAGTTTCCCGCGAGATTACAAACTGACAATTCAAGTGTGGGATTACGACGCGGCGACGGCTGACGATTTGATCGGCGAGACGCGAATTGACATCGAGAATCGATTTTACAGCCGGCATCGGGCGCACTGCGGAATCGCGGACGTTTACAGCAGCGCGGGTTACAACGTTTGGCGGGATCGCGAGAGACCGACGCAGATCCTGGAGCTCCTCTGCAGAACGAACAACCTGCCGTCGCCGGAATATCGCGAAGGCGAAGTTAAGATTGGCAAACAAATTTTCCCCTTCCAGGTCGCGGTCGAACGCGAGGACGAAGCCGGTGCGTAACAGCAATGAGTCATATTACGATAAATGAAACCATCAAGTACACTGGCGCCTCTCTCGGCGGATAATTTGTCCGAAAACTTAGCAAATTTGTACGCTTTTAAACGCCTAAATGGGGTAACATCCTTCGCTCCGCCTCGCTATAAGTATACCCCGCATTGAAAACGTTTTCGCGAGAAGAGTTGAAAGAATTTTGAGCAAAGGAAGGGAGGGAGGGAGGGAGGGAGAGACGCTTTGGAAATAGAGGAAACTTTCATTTGAACGTCGTTGCCGGCAACGAATGAACTTTCGTAGCTCCGCATCACGTACGCGGTGAAGTAACACGTAAACGTATTTATTTCAAATGATCGATGCGCGCCGACAGACAGGAAAGAATGCATGGCTCTGAACGTGCTTCATCGCTGGCAAGATTTCCCCATCTGTGGATGCGCTCTGGTGCCAGAGCACGTTGAGAGGCGATCGCTTTTCAACGCTAAGAGGCCCGGCCTCGAGCAGGTAACACATAACATGCGCGACCTTATGCTCTATGAGAAGTAACCTCGCGCGCCCCTTGGCAAACGTGATCGTCATACGACCGTTGTTTTTTTCCGCGGGGGCGAAGCCATATATCCTAATTATTTTGCCGAGCTACGCTTCTCTGATCCTCGACTGGAATAAATCAGGACGTCGGGGCGACGTCTCTTGTGGTGTTAAGTATTTATGCCAGAACGTCGGAGACGCGCTCGCCTTATCGGACGCATTAAACCATAACGGATGATGATGAAATAGAAACGTTTCCTCAACGACTCCGTCCGGTGGCTCCGCGATTAGACTCCGTATTTTAAACCGCGTCTCAATGCGCCTCAATTTAAAGCGATATTACTCTCTGTGATAAAAAAATCCTCCCTCGCTTCTACGTTTTCTCGTTTGCTCGTTCGTACGGCTAACCGATGCAGCTCGTTTTATGTTCTATTTTGCGGGAGGACGGAAAAACCACGGAAATTACACGTCACAAGGGAAGTTCCTCTGCGGCCGCGACCGCACAGCGTCAACGTAATCGACGTACGAATATCGTCGCAGGGCAAGCTGGAGTTATGGATCGACATGTTTCGAATCGGACAACTGCCGCCGAAATCGGCGACCGATATCGCTCCTCAGACACCGGAGGAGTATGAGATTCGCGTGATTATTTGGAATGCCGAGGATGTGCCGCTGGTCGAAAGTCAATTTCTCACTGGCGAGAAGTGCTCCGACATTTACGTCAAAGGGTACGTCATCGCGAATGTGTGAAAAACGACGAACAAGTTTTTTTACACGATTGCACGGCAATTCGAGAGCACTTTGTGGTAAAATTGCGAAAGCATGTTTGCAACCATTACAACATCCCACCAAGTCATATCCGCACTCTTTTTTTCATATGATTGACGAACAGATTCGTTTACTTTTCTCTCTCCCTCTCTCTCTCTCTCTCTCTCTCTCTCTCTCTTTCTCTTGACACGGTAATTCGATATTGAGAGACAGGTCGTTTAAAACGTTTCATTCCAGAATGTACCAGACGTTAATCTGATTCGTAATCAATTTTTCGATATATAATCGTTCTTAATTCCAATGCGATAAATTATTCAATTTCATCGAGGGGTCGGTCGATCGATTATGTCGATAATCAGATATCCGCAATCGGATTAGAAAAGCGGTTTGCAATTCGCTCCAAATAATTGCGCAGATGGATCCTATATGAGGACTATCAGAAGACCGACGTTCACTATAATTCGCTAAACGGCGAGGGTAACTTCAATTGGAGATTCGTGTTTCGCGTCACGTACTCGAAGGGTGAGAACGTCATGATAGTACGTCGGAAACTGTCGTTGTTTGCCAAAAACGAGACGGAGGAGAAGCTGCCCTGCAGACTTTGCCTGCAAGTCTGGGATAGCGATCACTTTTCGTCGGACGATTTTCTAGGTAATTAAAATATCCTGTCGGTCGGTAGCGCTAAGGAAACGTCATTTTCATAACGATTCTTTTGTTTTTATATTCTAGTCGGTTTATTGCAATATTTATATGTAGAAGCTTATTTTATTGTATTTATATTGTGTTCATTTATATGTAGAATCAATATTTTAACAAAAATTTTTGTATTAAACTGGGAATATGTATGTACCTAGAATTTGCAGCGAAAACTAAAACATTCCTTGTAACAAAAGCTTCCATTTTCAAGACAGGAAAACGATTTTAAAAGTACTGCTGGTGCATATAAGTACCGATCAGCTCGAAGGGGTTGAAGAGACAGATTACAGAAAAATATTGCCTACGATATTCAGATATTCTTATATTTTACAGAATTAATACCTAATTTTTTCGCTATAATTTGGAACTATAATTTTGACTGTAAGCAGGAAATTGCAAGTTTTGAAAATAAATCTAACGTTAAGAAAGTGCTTATTTCTTGTTTAATAATCTTGTCTGATAATAGTTTATTAATTTATTAGTTTAATAATTTATTTCTTATTTATTAGTTTGTAACTGACATAAGATTCGCGAGATATGTGCTTGCTACATATTTTCTAAGACGGAAATCAACATATTGCAGGAGAATTAACGCTGAACCTGTCAAGAATGCCGCGAGGCAGTTCGGTTCCTAAGAAATGTACATTAAAATTGCTCGACTCGCAATTGCCCACAGTGAATCTATTCAAAATTACACGAACTAAAGCTTGGTGGCCTCTTGCGCGCAGCGTCAATGCCGGGAAGTACATTCAAGCGGTAAGTCACTTGAAAAAAATGCTTTTGACAGTTCGATAAATCAGACACATATAATATCAAAAAACCTATCAAAATTTTACTACTAAGTTACGCTTTTACCGCAGAAGATGTGTATAATTCCGGAAAAATATGTGCAGAAGGTTTGAGACGAAAGGGTTTAATTTAATTTGCTTAAGAATGCCGCTTATTACAGGGTAAAATCGAGCTAGAAATATCCGTTTTACGAGCAAAAGACGCGGATAATCAACCAGCTGGCAGAGGAAGAGATCCACCGCAAAACCTTCCACCTCCAAGGTTTATCCATATTCTTACTCATTTTTTAATTGCTCATAGACTTTATAATATGTTTGTTGAATAAACATTGTTTATTTATAAAATGTTTTTTCTTTGGTAGCTTATTTCTTATATCGTAACTTGTAATGTAACAAAAAAAATTATCAATTTCGATTAGACGCAATTGTCTGATAAAAAATCTAACGATACATCTCACAACAATATTTTCCATCGAAAGAGAAGTAAAAAATATCCGGCTTTTTACTAAAACTAATTTTTCAATCACTGCGTCCCTATGTATACACATACGTATTTCTAATTATTAATTATTATACACGTGTTTACAGGCGTCCTGATACTTCCTTCTCCTGGTTTCGTAATCCATGGAGGGCGTTCTACTTCGTTGTTTGTCGCTATTATAAATGGCGAATAGTGTGCTGCTTCCTGTGCGTCCTACTTGTAATGCTTGTAGCGTGCGGAGTATATGCTTTCCCCGGATATTTTGTTAAACGTCTCTTAGGTGCTTAATCCTCGCGTGAGTATGCGACTCGACGACCGATGTTTCGTCTGACAAACTTACCGAACGCTTGCATTTCTAATTGACGGTTAAGAAATAAGTTAGTCAAATATGTTTTTAGTCACGTGTAATCCATCCGTTTGTTAATATGTTAGAGGTACAAATAATTAACGCTTCGTTGAATCCTAACATGTATGGCTTTAGATATTTCGCAATAAAACTAAACAGAAGGTGATATTAATTCTGTGCACAATTGACACAATGGACAATATTCTATACTCATTAAGCGTAATAAATCAGTTTCAGTTCTGATTAAATTTGATGGTTAAAATGTGTGTACTCTTGTTCTATAACCTATATTCTATAACTATAATTATATATGAAGCTTATCGCGTTTGTCAAGAAATACTCAATTATTACTTGTGCCGATAATCGTCAATCATTAGAATAAAAGCTAAAGATTAATTATTCCTTAACGATAATCAAGAGACAAGTTGGATTTTTGGCAGCGGTATTCCTATCTTAAATCTTAGAGGATACGCTAAAAACAGCATTCTTTGATTGCGGTATAAAAAGTTCCCAACGTTAATGACGTGATCACCGCTCGTAATGATGATATTAAATTATGCCGTTTTCCAATTACGACTGACCGCGATATTGGACAGCGGGATAAACCATTCCATGAATTAATTAATGCTTTATGACGACTTATGCGTCGTATTGCTTTCGATATAAATAATACAAGTAACGAACTTAATGTGCCCAGGTTACGAGCAATAAAATGCATTCGTATTGCGGGATAAAACGTCGCGCATTACGCCTTCGCGTGTCTCGTTATTAATTAATAGGCCGCCGATCGATGATAATAGATTAACTGAGATATGACAATACAGCGGATGTCATTTCGATGTTACCGACGATGAATAAATTTCAGTCAGGCTCATCAAAAAATATAGTCGCAGATTTTGCTATCGGAAACGATTACGCAAATATTTTACATGACAAATGAAGCGTTTCTTTTTTAGAGGTTATTGCTTGCGCATGACCGGCTTCAAACGCGATTTCACGCGACAAATTGTTAACGTGTCACGTGTGACTTTGTTATATATCGATCAACAGAACACTCAACAGACTAATCCTTTCACGCGCTAATTGATTAAAAACTGAAAGCATGTTTTTTTAATTATCTTGATTGTACGTTTAGTTTCTCTCCCTACGGTCGTGTGAGATTAAAATATCTCACGCAATCGCGTTTTTATAAACTAACAAGTTTTTGTAATAACATTCTATGCACTTGGAGGTAATGTGCTTTGCTAAATTAAAACGGAAAAAGATACGCACGCTCGCGTCGATGAGACTGGAGACTTTCGTGTTTAGTGCCGGGGAAGGTCATAGAATCATAGAAGTGTCATAGAAAGGTATATCGTGGACAAATTGATTCTAACTTCGTATCTTCAGTTTGATTGCTTTTTTCGAGTATTTGTGCTAAATTGAGTCGAATTTTATTCGGAATAAATCGATATCATTCCGCCTCATGATAATTAATATGATGAAAATTGTCATGCAGAAAATATAATTAGTCGAGCTATCGGATTTCAACAACCAACGTAGGAGTTTTGCATGCAATATCAATTATAACAGTAGAGTAATGAAGATATATTGTATAGTAAATAATTACGTGCCAACGTTTAATTTAATTAAATCGGGCTCGGGATTTTAAAACACGTGCATAAATTATCGTTCAAAATGATGATAATGAATGATGGATAGGCGCGTGTGGCAATACGCTGGATGAACATAAAGCCACGAACATAATCTTTCAGAGGCGAAAGAAATTGTGACTCCGTCACAATAAATCTTTGCTCGAGAATATTTTATTGCCGGGAATTTATGTAGACCGCCGAACCAGGTATTCTCCAGTCACCATATATTCTGAGATCCGATATGATAGTTTCGCGGAAGAAGTTCGATCTTTCGAAGGCGCTTCTCTCACGTTTACGAAAAACATCGAGTCGTAAACCATCGCGATGACAGAAACAATTTGAAACCGAAAAGTCACGTCTTCGATATACCAAAGAGCCTCGAAAGCGTCGCACGAAAATTTTCAGATGTTTAGCAGGCTCTTGCGACACAAATGAATATTTTGTCGCAAGAGGTTTTGTCATAAGGATCGGCAATCAAATTCCACGTAGTGTCCTATTGTAGTCGTGAGGAAATTAAACGGAATCGAATACCTGACATATCGTGTCAGAAAACACATGGCACCAGGTCATTTATCACCGGTCACGTGTGTTCGTTATTTGCGTAACAATAGAACCTGGCGTGCACGTGAAAACGCGACTTGTCTCGTCAGTTAAGGTGGGGAAACATGCTTATGAAATTTTTAACGAACTAAAAACGCTCGGCGCGCGCACGAGCAAATTGTCCTCGTTTCGCCAGGACGAATAAAACTCCGTATGCTCTTCGCGGACGTATTCGCATTCCTTATATTTAAGCCCTTTTTGCGCGCATTATTCCGCGAATTCTCTGGCAAGAACAGAGTCGACGAGAATTAGCAAAAAATTCGAAAGGAAAGAATAACGGATGCAAAAAGAATTCTTTTTGCCGAAGACGAGATCTTTACGGTCGAAGGAAAGCTCGCTTGTTAACTCAATGCATTAACGTTAGTGGATCTTGTTTCGTGAACTCTTCCACCACTTTTTACATATTCCAGGATTAGTTCCAAACATTTCAGTTAAGTTCTAATCTAAATTTGACTCGATAAAAAAAATCAAAATTAAACGGAAGTGAGATAGGACCGATTCAGAATAAAATTTGCGACGCCAACGACTTTATCAAACGCGACAAACAATATTTGCGAGATTTACGTTAGTTTCTTATATTAAGATTCTGTATTTATGGTCTGTAATTATGGTCGCGAATGATTTACGGTCTTTGATTAAGGGCGCAATTACAAATTCATGTTCACGGATCATTACCCAATTGCTTCGCTTGGATGAATATTTCTTACCGCATGAAATAAATACAAATCCAGAGAGACCGACGAATAATCGGAGATTAATGAAGCCGTCGATACGTAATTTATTAAATGATGATAGGCTATGAACGCCGGCCTAAATTTGGACTCGATTATCTCCGTAAATTCGTCAGACGCCAATTAAGACTTTTCTATATAATAATAAATGAATTTATACACTTGGCAACAAGGAGCGTATCATTTCCCGGGTCCCGACATCTCTTGCGCGTCCACTGTCCTCCACAGATTCAGCTGCTCCGTCATCTCTTGGAGATACTGACTGGTGGACGCCGACACACGCGTAAATACGATTCGATTGGAGATAATTAACGTTAATTAACACGATGCCGGTGAGCGCACGGTTAATTACATCAAGAATCGACGGAATGCTGACACACCGACACACGTACACGTACATGCGCGATATGTACATATTGCTTGCGGTTCCGAAACACACGTAACGTAAACACTCGGAAAAGTCAGCGCGACGCACGACAGTTCAATCGTAAACTCGCGAATATTTCACAAGTGCGTTTGCGCCAACGCGAGTTTCACAAATTCGATTCGTAATTATACAAGCGTTAGCGCCATGAGCGAACACATCCGGAGTACCACGACGAGGTAACTACAAATCGCGAGTCAGGAACTGCACCGGGCAAACCAGGACGAAGGGTTGAGACATTAACAGTTAAGTGATATACTATGTATTTCCAGCTAAACTCAACGATCACAAAGACGCCCGAGATCTTAATCTCGGAGGTTAAGCAAACTTGCTAAGAGCTACGAGCAAGACATTTTATAAGAATAAAAAGAAAGGGATACTTGAGCCGAACAATTGCGAGAATGAGCAGATGTTAAAAAGATTTGTAGAAATGTTTCTTCAAGTTTCTTAAATATGAAGAAAACGGCAACAAGTGACCACTTGTGGCATCACGAGAGACCAATAGCCCGTATGATCCTTATCCAAATATCGACGCGTGGCCGCGAGGTAAGAGCAAAGTTTCGGTAGAACTAAAATTCGTACTCTCGGGATATCTCGAGAGTCTTCATTAGTCCTTCAGATCCGATGGGATTTGTCGGATTAATTTCTACCGGGTTTCGGTTTCGCTCTCGAGCCTCTCGACGAGTGTTGAATCTGCAAACGCAGAATTCGCTTGTATCGTTTGCGTTGAGAGGCGCAACTTACGACGGGACTGTATCAACGTGCTCGAATGCACCCCGGACAGGGTGAGTTCGTCGGCCGAGTGGCGGCTTTCGGGGCGAACGAATAGAACGCGAATTCACTTATTGCGGACTGCAGAGTCACGCGAGTGCATATATGCAGTCGCCGGAATGCATGCGCCGGATTGCAGCGCGCCCGGAGTAAATTCGCCCTTAGTGCCTCGCGTGTGTCCTATCCGCGCTCGTATCTCGATATCACGGCCAGGCCAGTGACCTGCCTTCGTTGCCTACAGCCTGCTTTATATGACGCTTTGTCACTAGTTAGAGCACAGAGTGTGTGACTCCTGGCGCAGGAAACGGCTGGCGGTAATTTCATTCGGGAGAAGAAAGAGTTATCAGATGTTGAAAAATACGCTCGCTTTTTGCATTCGGGCCAATTTATACAGGCAATCTCACACGCATACGTGCTGTTTTCGCCTGAAAGTAATACCTATGGTGTACCCATCGATCGGCGATATCTGATATTGAAATCTGCAGGCGAAAAGGACGACAAACGAAATTTCGCCGAGTTCTCATTTCGGAGAAACTAATCCTTCTAAAGATATTTCGAAGAGGGACGTTAATTTCCTCTATTACACTTCTCTAATTCTACTATTCTATTTAATCGGCTCTTCAGGTTCTTAGAGTTCGAGGGATTCTATCTCGCCTGTCATTGTTAGATTCTTTTTTTTTCATTAATTTCGACTTTTGTGACAGAAACTCGACAGAGTCAACTTGATATCGGGAAATTCAACACTTGGCTCGAGAAATTACTTTAAATACAAAGATTAATGAGTCGCGGAGAAAATTACGTATGATTAAATTCTTGTTAATGGAGACTCCGCACGAAATTGATGAAGAAAAGCCCGTTAGATGAGAACGACGGCGATAGTTCTGCTGCATTCCTCATATCGT